AGAGAGAGAGAGAGAGAGAGAGAGAGAGAGAGAGAGAGAGAGAGAGAGAGAGAGAGAGAGAGAGAGAGAGAGAGAGAGATGGGATCTTTAAAATTAAAAATAAATAAAAACAAAAAGACGCGAATTCGAGACGACGTTCAAATGAGAATTTGAATGCAAACGCGCATTCATGGGGTTCAAACGGTTACACATTGGTTGGGATATAATCCTCGCCTGATGCTTTTCTGTATTTCTAAAATTGCCAAGGATCCTAAGGGCATGCACACACTAGGACTTTTTCTACTATGCTCCATACATGATTGCAGTCAGATTCATCGGGGTCTGGCTGTGATTGCGGTTAAATACATTCAGAAATGCCAGGTAAACTGTAGGCAGAGAGTGAGAAGAGGACAACAAACGAGGGGGCTGTGACAAACTGTTTCGTCGGAGTTTCAGCGACTCATCGTATACCAGGCAGTTCTGTATATTGTCAAACACACAAAGGGCTGGCATTGGTTTTCACACTGTCTAATCAGATTATTCCACCCCCACAACATTATGGCGGGCGAATAAGATCACTAGCTTGAGGACCCTCACCAGGCAACAATCAGACGATTGCAAACACTCTGGAAAAAATAAGACGATCAACGACCGCGGATTGTGAATTAAATTTAGATCAAACGATCATCAGGCAATGATCAGACGACCATTGATTTCTGATTGTGCACATCACCTTTGACACAGCGGCATGCACATCGTGGAGCCGGAAACCGACAGAGATCGCAAGTCAACCGTCAGAGGATCGCTGACTTGCGATCGGTGCATCAACGCAAACAACTCCGCAGCAATCTGCATGCTGCCAGGAAGTGCATATATATATCAGACTTCCGATGATCTGCTTCCCCCCCATATGGATGAAGCCCTTCAGGAACACAAAACACAGAGAGGCTGAAGTGGTTTCCCCGATCGGCGATGCATGACGGCTGCATGACTGCCTTGAGATCAGCGCATCGCCAATGACTCTACATCTACATGCCGCCAAGAAGCGCATCTATACTGAGCTTCACATGATCGGCTTTCAAGTACATGGATGAGAATGGGGGTCAAAAGGAGGCTGATAAAGGGGGTTAAAAAAAGGGGCAAAAGACAGGAGCAGCCACAGAGGGGGTTAAACGGGGGCAAAAGAGCCCTTTCGGAACACAGAACGCAGAGAGGCTGAAGTGGTTTCCCCGATTGCCTGTGATGGCTGCACGACTATCATGAGTGGGCTACGCTACAAGCAGTGATTGGAGAACGAGCGATCACCCAAAACTGCTCACGTCGGCAACCGCCCACTATAAGGCCCTGTAACCCTTTCCCAATTATCCTACCCTTCCCCCATTATCCTACCCTTTCCCCATTATCCCACCCTTTCACCATTAGTATGAGGTAGTCTCAGAAATCAATCCACGAGTGCAAGACACGAGCGTCCACAGTGCAAGCGGCGGAGTAGATCAGCTGGATGCGATCAGCACCCCACGATGAGTAGCTCAGGGGCTCCCGCCTAGAGGGCGAGTAGAGGGGGGCTGTTTACGCACGCGACACCCCCAGGCCACTGGCTGACTTGTCATATCCTTAACATAGCTTCATTACAATGTACAGAGGGGTTCCGCACAACTGGCTGCGAACAATCAGTGGTGCCTTCGCACAACTGGCTGCGAACAATCAGTGGTGCCTACGACCGCCAGAGGAGGCACAGAGGATTCTGGCCCCCCAGTACCACTTGCGGACTTGGGAGAGATTCCAAACGGAACGACTTCATTACAATGGACAGATGAGTTCGCACGACTGGCTGCGAACGATTAGTGGTGCCCACGACCACCACAGGAGGCGCAGAGGATTCTGCCCCCACCTCCGCATCCTAGGCACCGTACCCGCACAATCACTCCCTGGCTCTCCAAGCACGGCTCGACGTAAAGCCCACTGCCACTGCAAGTGTGGCAAATCACTGAACCCACCGCCTCACAGATTTCACAAGCTTGATTACTTCCGATCTCCTTGGCCATCACCTCCTTATGGGAAACAGTGATCTCCGACTCGCCGCCATTGTCTACAAGTGACCCTGATGTTGTCATAACAGTGCCATTGCTGTCATGAAGGCATCTCAGCTTTCTTCCGTTCTTCGTCCCATAATTCCCACCTGGGTAGTTTGCATCACCATAGCGTTCTGATGACCCTCTTTCCAATCCGCTCACACTTCTCACGACGACTCCAACTCCTGACAACACTCCCCCAGATTTGTACTGACTTCTCCCACCCTCACAGGCTCGTCCTAAGGAAGGTGAGAAGCTATGCACGCAGGAAGGCTGGGCATTCAACCTGGCCATGGATCCTCTGCATGTACGGGTCACCGCAAAGCTCTCGTCACAGAGTGCAGCAACTGTCAACCTTGACGTGGCCATCTCTCTCTCTCTCTCTCTCTCTCTCTCTCTCTCTCTCTCTCTCTCTCTCTCTCTCTCTCTCTCTCTCTCTCTC